ACTTCCATACACTCCGTTTTAGTGTCTAAGTAAAGGCATTAGCAGGTGGATGGGAATCATGAGCAAAAAGAACACAAGGAGGATTGTAAGACTAAAATTAAAACGAGGAAATGGTAGAGGAAGAGTTTTGCCTTGCAGAGAAAGATGCAGAGCTTAAAATAGAAACCTGCTACAGTGCAGCAACTAGATGAGTGAGTTGCTCTCCTGTTTAATTAAATCATGATGAATTATGCTCTCCAAACATTGAATGACAAGGGACAGTTGTTTCATCGTTTCCTAAGGTCAGAAAAGCGTGTTACTATATCAGTACATGACATCTTCGTAATAATTAGTAATCATTATACGTCACGTTACCAATTACACAATCTAATTCCGACTTCTTTAGATCCGAGTTCAGGGAGGAGTCGATGTCTTTGAGGTACCCAATATTAGGCTCTCTGTCCATGCTATCTACATAAAAAAAGGATCTTACTTAAGCTGCCTTGAATTCCTGGCATCAAATGTGGAGTATAAATCTAATAGAAAAATAAATAAACTTTTTGATATTTTTTTAAGGAAATCTACTCTTCCAAATTGTAGTGACAATGATGATGGACAAATGAAACCCCCTGTTGGAATTAACCAACTGTTGAGACAGCTTGGTGGCAAGTAAACTAACTAAATCAAAACATGCACATCTCCCTAAGAATACAAATGGTGGTCCCTTCAGAAAAAGAAGTTGGTCTGATTTGAAATTGGCAAGATACGTATAAGGATGCATCAGTTTCTGTAATGATATGCAGGGATAACCTGGGGGAACCAGAGGGAGACCTGCAGACTGGACAACCAGCATGTAAGAGATGTCTCAGCCCATAGAAGGTGGGAAGGTGTGGCACATTTTTCAGAAGGGACTCTTCTGAAATACTTTCAGTCTTGCAAGTTTGGGGAGTTGAAATCCATAGGTGTTAAAGTTGCCAAGCTTGGGTACCCTTGGTGTAGTCAGTAGTCATTACTATTTGGTAATGACCACTAATCGTATTACCTTGTAATATACAGTTAATATTTCTGACTGTCATATGGCTTGTTGGCCATATCTTATGTATGCCTAAAGATCAGCATCCAAAAATTGCTCTACTTCCTGGATACCTCCAGAAGGGAAGAGGAAATGATGCTGGCCTCAGAAATCCTGGCGCCAAACACTTAAGGAAGATTTTAAGATTATTAATGTACCTTGGAATGATGCCAAAGATGCTGCAAATGACTGAAACTGCTAGAAGTGTGCCCAATGTGCTTTGCACAGGACCTAACGATGATGATGATTCCCGATGGTATTTCTGGCTTGGACTGCCTTGCAGAGCTAATGGACAGAAACATCTGGCAGCAAGATAACAGCTTCAGAGAGCTTTCAGGAATTTGGTCTCAGGACCAAGGCCTCAGAACTGTAGCAAGTTGTGCAAGGACCATAGAGCATTTTACATTTGTTTAATTAGACAGGTCCATGTACAGACAAAAACATCCTTGATAGCCAGCTGTTATCAGGACTCCAACGCCACGGAAACAGTAGGAAGAAGTAACGTATAGATCAATTATATTGAATGATGTTCAGTGAATCATGGTACTTATATAGAAGAGTTACACAGGATGTCATGTGTTACGTGGAAGGAATATGTACATTGTCACGACCCGAGGTTCGTGTTAAGGGTTACCATCTAACGTGACAACTAAACTTGGTGAAGACGGAATCCTGAATTTCTGAGTTTGTGAGCATTTGTAATATACATAGTTTATTGGTTTTATATAGCTTCCTGTGGACTTTAGTGGAACAGGACAGGAAAGAATTGCATGGAAGTTCAGAAAGGATGAGATTCATATTTACCTATTGTATATTTTTAAATAAGTCGTAAAGTTGCCACCTATAATATTTGTCATGTATCTTCTCTTGCCATTGCTATACACAGTCTTGCATATATAATGGTACAATGGCACAATTCAGCTTATTCCATTATCAAAATAAAGATTTTAAAAACTGGAGACATGTGTGTGTGTGTGTGTGTGTGTGTGTGTGTGTGTGTACAAATCCAGTACTTCTGGTAAGAAATAAGTTCTATCCAAGTTCCACATCATTCTATAATATTTCTAAGGTTCTGCATGAAAATTGTATACCTCTCTTAGTAAATATTTTAAAAGTGCTTTATCTCCAAATGTCCATTTCTGAACATTTGTTTTTGAAGTACAAGGTTTAAAACATATTTGAGCTACTAATTTTGAGCCTAAAAGTTGATGAATTGAACATTAATGCAGAAGGTACAGATAAGATCAATTTATATGCCTAAAATAATGTAGTAATTTAGTTCACATCAATGCATATCCAATTAAACTTTTTTACTTTAAGCTAAAATATCTGGAGTACTGTGTGAGATTCCTCCCCGGAATGATAAACTTCGATTCATAAGGTTAAAAGATCTATGGAAATATAAGAAATTCTATTATACAGTAATTAGAACCATTGAATTTACTGAAACTGGAATATGCATTCATATTTCTATCAAGGCTGTAAACTAAAGACTGTAAATTAAAGACACATGCGGAATAAAACTTGGGTTTGGAGTTTTTCTAGAAACACAACTCAGGTGCTTAAACAAGATAGTAATTAGTCTCTCAATTCTTGAGTTTTAAAAAGTCAAATATAAAACTAAACATTCTTTAAAACTGTTGATGGAATTCCAATGACTTATAGTCATTTCAATACCTTCATATAATTGAGAATACCTTTGTGCATGTCTGTATGTGTCCAGGGGATTGTTTGAATTGGAATCTTTATTAAAATAATGAAAGCTCAATTTAAAAATCCATGTTGAAATTCCACAAGGGTGTCTGACTTTTAAAATTTTCTGATTCATACTCTTGTGAATGTGATGCTTTTAGAACTGTTCTTCAATTAGTGTACAACTCTTATAGTATCACCCGATTTATTCTAAAGGCAAGTAAGTAAATTATAGTTGTTGATTTTCTCAGAGCTGAAGCTAAGCAATAGCTGTATAAATGAGGTTCCTAAATATGAGTTTTTGAAAGACAGCTGCTTAAGAGCAATACAGAATTCCTCTTGATACATGAAGCAAAACTAAATTTCCCCTGCAATGAAGCTATAATCTATCATCCATGACAGCTACAGAATTATTTTCCACAACTCTTTTTGCATTGCTTTTTGTGCCTTGAAAATGCTTACACAGGTAGTCCTCAACTTACGGCCACAATTGGAACCAGAACTCCAAGGCATTGTGGTCATGTGACTGGGTGTGTCGATCATTAAGCAAATCACACAGTCATTAAGTTGATGGCCACTATCCTTTGTAGTTTTACACATTTATGCATTTTATACATTCTTTTAAGTTAGATGGAAGATGAGACTTATATTTCTTCTATATGCCTCTGATGCACAGAAAAGTGATCCTAAGAGCTTTTCTGTACCATGGTCTTATGCTATTTGACTCCTGTTCATAAACCAGCCAAAACCAAAGCTGGCTTAAAAAATCTATTTCCACATTTCAACTCCTTCCCTTCTTGATCATGAAGATAGTCTGGTGTTCTGTCCAGATTGGTGGATTCACCTGCTGCTTTGCTCCCCCCCCCCCCACTGTTAGGAAAGCAAGCTCCAATTTCACTTTTCCCTCAATGAACTTGTTTAAAAATAGGTTCTGCTAGTGAGCTTGGTAACTTCCCTGCCTCCCTTGATAAGCGTTTTTGTGTAATAAACGTTTCCAGGGACGATGACAATATTTTTCTTGTTGGTAATCTGTACTATTTCCCTAATCTGTACTATTTCCCCTAAGTAGCCCTTTCACAAAAATATTATGATTTGGTCACTAAATTTCAACAATTTAATTTAGGGGAGCTCTTAAACAGAATGTGGGAGCCCATGCTTGATTTAAACCCCTGCTGTTTCTCTTTTCCGATGGCATACTTTTTTTCTTAGTTTGCTTCTAACTACCATCTATTTCTTTTACCGGGAAAAGAATAAATCCTTTGTTCATAATGATTAGATTTGTACTATTTAACCATGGACTGACTTTACATGCTTTTATTAAATCCTGACATTAAACTCCACAGCATCAGCTAGCAGGTAATCTGTCAGTTGTATATTATATAAAGATACAACTCTTTTTGCCCTTCTGGGTAAGCTCAGTAAGATAAGCCTCAGCATCAGAGCCTGAGGCAAAATAGGTTACCCCCCCCACCATATCATGGTCAATAGTGTCCAACTTGAACTAAGGATAAGCTAAACTACAGACAATGGCTGAAGAAGGAATGGGCTCAATTCCAGCATCCTACAAACTTGATTTGAAATAATGGCATAAGGAAAAACAACAGCCATAAATTGCCAATTTGGGTATTACGGTGAACTATAGCTAGCAAACCCCAGTAGAAGGAATTAATGCAGCTAATGGGACATTGAATGCAGGAGTCCATGGTCCTGACTTATAAAGGATATTAGTGACATTTACATCTCAGGAAATGTCAGTGGTTGCATTTGGCATCTCAGTCTACACGAACTATATACAGTAATACAGAATGGTTGAAAACACTCAGAGCAATTATGAGTTTGCCACAAGTTATAGCCTAAATAAGAACTGAGTAAATGGATTACTTGTGCTTTATGTATCTTAGAGATTTTTAAAAATACCTCAGTGATTATTTTTTCATTATGGCATATTTTAGTATGCTTTTATCATGTTTTAACTATTACTGCTTCCCAATGCTTTGACAGAAAATCCTTATAAATATTCAGATATTTAAGAAAAATATGTGTTTCATTAATTCTACTGCACCAGCACCAAACAATTGTAAATGCTTGAATTTCTCTTGTTAAAAACTTGTGATAAATTGCCTCATAGAATAAAACACATATAGCAATTTTGAGTTGCTTTTATCAACTTTTGCTTTTGAAATTCATCTCAATCTGAGATGTACATATTGAAAGATTGACCCATTATCCACTGACGTGGAATCAAAAAGAAACTTACTTTTATACGTTATTCTTGTTATGGTGTCTCTGTTAAGCATACGATTTAAAAATGGATTTGATGATTCAGATACCTGCGGTGGAAAGAATTCATTGTCAAAACAAAAGTAATAACCACAAACCTCTTATTTTTTTGGGAAAGTATCTATTTATCAGGAGCGGGGTGGTGGTAGGAGCAAGAGAATCAAGGGACAAGTACAGAATTAGTAAAAATGTGGATGTACTGCAGTCAGATGAAATGAGTAATGGCGGTTCAGTTTTCTATTAGTGCAGTCTAATGGAAAACAGAAAGGAAAGGGAGCTGTACTCTGAATGCTTTGAGCGTGAGTTGCATCAGCTTCTTGCCATCCTAGTTTTTGTTTTTAAATTGAAAACCTAATAATGTTGGAAAACAGGCATAATCTGACATGGTTATGCAGGAGATAAAAAAAATTCCTTTCAATCCATTTAGGCAAGACTGATTGTGAACCACCATGGCTCTTGGCTTCAATTTTGTGGGGAAAAGAGAAAGAGTGGGCTAGTATAGACTCATTAAAAGGCTCTCATTTAGGCAAAAATCCAGAGCAAAACCTGGTTTGCTCTGGTAATCATCACAGCTTGAGGTAACATTTTCTACCTCAAATCACAGCATGCTGCATTCTCATCTATGCTGCAGTTATAGTGGGATGCAAAATCATTTGTAGCTGGAGCATTCAGTAAGAAGGAGATCTGGGCATCAACCTGCACTCCAGTCAAGAGCAGCAAATTCTTCCACATCCAATATGCACAAAAGATCAACATGGCCTTAAAATACTAACTCAAGAAAGGTAATCAAGCCCTTGTCATTTTTGCTTTGAGCTTAGATATGAATCTGATGGGAATCTGCTTTTCTGTGGTTTCTTCTGCAAAAGTTTGAAATACTTCATCCTCTGCTCGCCGCCTTCATTAAGAACAAGGCTTGGTTACATTTATACATGACAGGGATGGCTCAAGGCAAAACAGTGTGAAGGTTACAGAGTGGAATCTGACCACAAATTAATTAGCCTGCACTTGTCAGGTTGACTCTTGGAGTTGGACTACATGACAACAAAATACAAGATGCAGTCTGCGAATAATTCAGAACAAAAATGCACCAAGGAAGTCTTCAGAATACAATTCCCACTTACATTGTCTTTTTTCTATTCTCCCCCCCCCTCTTTATTTTTATTATCTGAAGAGCAGGATACAGGGGGAGGATTTGGAATAAACTCTCAAGCATTCTACAGTATGAAAAGAGACCTTTCTTATTAGACTAATTTCTCTTGTAAACCAGGGGCACTTAATTATTGTGATACAAAGTTTTTGTAAATCAAAAAAATACCCTCCTGAGATATTCAAGAAAAAGGGCAAAATACAGATTTGTTTTTTTGTGTTCTGCCTATTCTGAGCATATCAAATCATCCCTTGGATATATACCTGTGTTTCCCTGAAAATAAGACTGGGCCTTATATTAATTTTTGCTCCAAAAGATGCATTAGGGCTTATTTTCCGGTTAGGTCTTATTTTTCAGGGAAATATGGTACTAAATATGTCCATCTGGCTGACAATCATAACTGGGGCTTATTTTGGGGGTAGGGCTTATATTACGAGCATCCTGAAAAATCATGCTAGGGCTTATTTTCTGATTGGGTCTTATTTTTGGGGAAACATGGTGGTACATGATCCTTTCAATTACTGGTTGAAGAAAAGATTGTGTTCTGCATTTTAGCCCCATACAATCAGTTAAAAATTGTAATCAAGGTTGGAGCATGGAGACATGTATGCCGCCCTTGCTATCCTGAGCCTTAAATAAGGAATGTGTTCAGTGGTTATAGCAAACAGTGATCGTCCTGTGCAATGAGGATTTATGATCATACAAAATGCAACAACTATCTTCAGCCAAATACATTATCTTCTTCCTACCATGCCTGTCATTTTGGGAAGTCAAAGGCCTGTTTATCCTTCTATTCTCTCCCCAGTTACAATTTTTTTTTAAAAAAATCAGCTAACTGATGTGAAAGCTGAACTACCTTTTAGTTCCATTACTGTATTAGTTTTGAAATTTTAACTGCCTCTGATAGATAAAAATGGTAGCAGCTCAGGGGAGAATCAGCCTAGATTTTCCTCTATCTGTCAGTTTTGAAATGTACCTCTCCCTGTGTCTCTCCTTTGTCTGGTTTTAGCAGTACCATTCTAAGATCCCACACCAGAAGCAAAATGGCCAGTTAGTGAAAAATGCAGTTGGAGAGAAATGATTAAACTCTTCGCATGCAACAAGTTGTCCCAGGTTCATGTCTGCTACAAAAAGAATAGGGTTGTACAAATTTTTGAAGGGCATGACACTTGAATGTAAATTTGCACAAAAAGCCCATTTGAAGCATCTCCTGGACTGGAGTGGAGAAGCCGTGTCATTTGACCCAGCAATGGTGGCCTCTGTGTGTCTACCACATGTGTACAGAAGCAACTGTTGATAATATAGATTAGTCCCAACTCTTTTTCATTGGGGTGGAGTGACAGGCCTCTTTGAAGAAGATTGTTCTGAGATGTACCCCTATTAAATAATACAACAGGTGACATATTGCCACCTGCATGACACTGATTTAGAAAATATGAGATAGCCCTCTATATGCTGGGCAACCTACAGTAGTGGCCAAAATTATGGAAACCTTTTGGGAAAAGTGTATTTTTGAGGTTTGATGGCTAATAACACCACCTTTTTTTAGAGTAGTAACATAAAATTATATATCAATGGAAAGATAATTTAATCAAGAATGCAATGCAACATAGTTTGTTCAATTATCTGTACTGTATTCTATGAAATGTTATAGCCAAATAACCAGAAAAAGGAAGCACAACTTACTTAGGTTGATATCAGGTAGCTTTCCTTCATCTGATTGTAGCCAATGAGCATGAGTGTTTAGAGAGCCAATCAGGTGTCATCTTGTTTTGGCAATGAGTCAATCAGATCATAGTAGGATTCAGTTATTGATGTCATGTACTGAAGCTGAGAGGAGGGTTATGTGATCGCTATCAAGTTGGTTGGGGTTTTTTGTATTCTTTCATTTAGTGAGCTTGTAAAACGTAATAAAATTAAAGTAATGGTGCAAAGAGTTGACTGGTTGCCCAGAAAGCGATGTAAAATAGTATTATTAAGTGAACAATAATATTTTATTAGAAGAAATATTAGAAGAAAAATTGGTGGAAACTTAACCAAAGGTGGCATTTCTACTGTACACTTTTCCCAAAACGTTTCCACAATTTTGGCCGCTACTGTTGTCTGAGGACTGCTAATATTGGACTCCATCAATTTTTCAGGCTGAAGTTCTGCTTCCGCTTCTCCCTTCATGTCTCTGACTATTCTGACTATCCCCGACTATTTCTCTAGTACCAAGTGAACAGTACTCCAAATCTACAAATCTTGTTTTTCAGAGATCATCCAAGGATACAGAAAGGAACATGCATAAAGAAATGGTTTCCAAATATTATGTCTGCCTTTACCTCAATGTATGTAAATCATTTAGTACAGTGGCCATTGGTTAGCTCACTGGGGAGTAAAATCCCTCTCCTTTGTGCAAAAAACAAACTAGGTACAATCTATTCTAGAAGTATTTATGGAGGGAGGGAATGCAAAAGCATGAGAATGGGAAAAAAGAAAAAAGACTCTAAAAAGAACTGCGATGTTTTCTGAGCATCTGCTGAAGAGTTTTGTTATTAATAACACAATTATAGTAATATAAAATATTAGTATTATTTGCAGGAAGATGAAAATGGATTTGTATAATATTTGTGTCTCCCTCCAAAGTGGTATAATTGCTTTGCACCCTAAAGTATGACTGTGTTATCCCCAAAGAACTGGCAGATGCAGACAGTCTTCAAAGTTGTCTTCCCCATTCTGTAAATAGTTCTCAGAATTACAATTCCTTTGCTGGATGGGGATTTTGGAAGTTGTAATATCAACGCATTTGGAGTACCAGGTAGAAAACGACTGCAGTTAGAGTTACTGGACTTATGCACCAATGTTCTTAATATCTTAAAATCACCCAGCAGAATGTAATTAAACATTTATGAAATTTTACTATACTTACTTTCATAAATATAGAAACTACCACCAAGCCATTGGGACTTTTTGCAGCTTCTGTGACATTTGTATATAACTCATGGTTATAGTGGATTAGTTGAACCTAAGGATAGAGGGGAAAATGAAGAGTAAATAGTGGAGAATCAAACCCTCTCTTCACTTATAAAGCAACAAACACCCCCTTTATAAGGGAAGATCTGTTTGCAATATGATTTCCATCAAGTTTGTACATTTTATGGTAATTTATTATTATTATTATTATTATTGCTTTGCTGCCCACATAATTTTTATATGGGTCATCTGTGGTCATCTGGCTTGTATAGGAGTGCATCCGTTATTCCTTTTCTCAACTGTCAGTGAATGGATTGAACACATTAAGATGCTGAATTCACTACAGAGGTTAGAGCTCCTTTGCCGCAAAAGCACTCATATAATTCAGCCATATGTCTTTCCTTTCTCAGAACTTTTTTCCCTAGCATCCCAAGCTCTGCACAGGGATAGTTGGAGGCGGATACTTGCACGCATGTGAGAGAAAGGAAATGGCAGTGCCAGCCGTACTGTAGGTATTTTCAATCGCACACTGTGAAGGTTCACACAAGATAATTCATGAGAAAACCTCCAAAGCCATATTTAAAATTCCTCTGAGTATATGAACCTGAGTGTCACAATATCATGTGCCAAAGTAATCCACTAGGTGCTATGATATACCTTCTTTAATTTCTCAGGCCTCACAGGTAGTCCTTTACTTATAAACTTTTGAATTACAAACTTCTGCCGGTACCAACAAACCTGTCCACAACTCCAATCTAGAAGGTCCCAGAAGGCTGGAAAAGGTTAGTTTATGGCATACTGCAAATGTATACTTGGCAGCACTGTCACACATTGGGAAGCTGATTTACACCATTTTGGACATTACTCAGTCCTGTCTGTTTCCTGATCTCATTATGTTTACTTCGCAATGTTTCCCTTTGTGTAGTGACTGTGAATTATAGTATGTCTGGGATTAGACATGTATCATTTACATAAGGTAAGAACTGTACTGTGCATATTCTTTATACTTGGTTGGATTTACAATCAAATGGACTCATGATCAGCCTCTTGGAATATAATCTGATAATAAGTAGAGGACTATCTAATTACTGTTTAAACAAATTATAATCTGTTCCATATACTCTCCAAAGCAAGACCTGAATAAATGTCCAAATGATATTTTGACTGGGTTGCAAGTACTGCAAGCTTTATACAAATTCAGCTATTATTAGAGGATCCATGATTAACTGTTTATATTTTGTCTACACACATGCTGTATCCTTCCTTCCTTCCTTCCTTCCTTCCTTCCTTCCTTCCTTCCTTCCTTCCTTCCTTCCTTCCTTCCTTCCTTCCTTCCTTCCTTCCTCACACTTGTGATCTCCTTACCAAAAAAAGCCTATCTGTGCATAAACCTGTATTTGTATCACTCCCTTCCAAATATCCTAATTAAGACTTGCCTTCCCACCTTGCAATTTTATAACACTGGTAAGTTTTGCTCTGGAAGATAATGTTGCTGTTCTAATAATGAAAAAAAAGTGCAGAAGCTGTTCTATCCTGTGTTCCTGGATATTGTTGGAAATATTTTTCTCTCCTCTTCTGCAGTAATGATTTTAAATCTAGGCTATGCAAATTAAATTCTCATGATAACTACTGCATTTCAGGCAAAAAATTTTTAAAAATGTATGCTGCTAAAAGTGTGGATGATGTAGGAGAAAAATACCAATCTTCTTGCCAGGAATTATAATCCATTTATTCTCACTGTTAGCATTTCTCACACAGCCTCTGCCTTATATTTCTCTAACAACATATTTTTAGATTTTTAAAACCATTGCTTATTTTGTAAATCAAGTTCCTCACCGTTAGCTCCTTTAGGGAAAGGATTTAGTCCAGCATAATAATATCCTCAAAATGGGCACAGGAATGGGGTTCTATTGAAAAATCTCATGGATTATCTGTCCATTAAATAAAATAGGAATAATGCTAGTTTTTATTCTTTCTGGAGTTCAAAGTCAGGAAGGAAGGGAGGGAAGGAAGGAAGGAAGGCTCTTGGACACAACAGCTTAGTAAGTACCATGCAAATAAAATGCCTATTCCTGAGGTAAAATGGATCCAAAAAAAGACTCAAGGAGTAAATGGGCTTCAGATCTCTTTCAACCCAAAGGTTCTTCCTTTCTCATTAGCTGGGATTGAAGGTTTTCTATGAGCTCAGACCCAGCTTCCTTTGTCTGGTTCAGGAGACATTTTTCCTTTGTTTCTTAACAACTTCTTTTCTTCTTATCTACCACCCGCAAGGAATCTTTTGGACAAGATTCCTCAATCCCAGCTAATGAGAAAGCAAAACCTTTGGGTTGAAAGAGATCTGAAGCCCATTTACTCCCCCGCCCTTTGGATCCAATTTACTTCAGGAATCGGCATTTTATTTGCGTGGTACTTACTAAGCTGTTCTATCCAAGAACCAACCTTCCTTCCCTCCCTCCCTCTCTCCCTCCCTCCCTTCTTTCCTGACTTTGAACTCCAGAAAGAATAAAGGAATAAAGGAATCTTTTGGACAAGATTCCTGGGTTTGACTCATCACTGCTTACATGCCTGCTTATTTATTTATTTATTTATTTATTTGTTTGTTTGTTTGTTTGTTTGTTTGTTTATTTAAATTTATATATATTTAGGTTATGGAAACTGCAGCCTAGTTTCACACACCTTAACCACTATGCTATGTAAGGTTGTTTGAAATCATTTGAGATTCAATCTGATTGTCCCCTTTCAGAAAGTACAAGAAAGAGATAACTCTGGAGTCCTTGGTGTTCTCTGAGCTTAGTTATTTGCTAGCATACATTTTGTTACGTGTCTAGGTAACATCTTTAGTGCTAGAAGGGAGCAGGGTTTACTCTCTGTTTATATATAGTAGCTTGCCTGTCAGTGTTGGGGATGCTATTTTACATCAGCATACGATCAACATGACACAAAGTAAATTTATACACTAGTAAGAGATTGAGACATTAAAAGCACTCAGAAACTCCTCTGAATTCTATTTGTTTTATTTTTCACATTTATATAGCCGCCATCTCACAATTAGGCTACTAAATGGTGGAGATTTACAAGTCCTCTACTATGTCTGTATGTAGCTACTGAGTCTAGAGCTAAATCTCTCAAGATGAAATGGCAAGAAAATGTGTATGAGTCACTCATCCCCTATACTTTTGTGTACATTAACCTCTCAAAAATCCATTTGAGTGGCCATTTCCCCTGCAACAAGAAAGGGAAGGTGCAAGCTTAATATTTCAGCAAGAGTGAAAAATAGCTCTCACTTGCTTTCAAGAATTCAGTGCTAAAGGCTATCTGCAATGTTTGTAAAAGAAAGAAATACAATTAGGAAGATGGTTATCTCCTACTGGCCTTGAACTACAACAGGGAAGTCTGTTTCCTCAAGGTGTTGGATAAGTACAGATAAATGTGCAAAAGAGACACAGCCATACAGCAGAACCTACATTGTTTAGGTTCTTAAGTGGAACCATGAAAGCAGCAAGGATGTTCTTTCCTTGATTTTGATGTACAAAGTCACACAGGTACACATCTTACTAGTCATGGACATCACTGTGTTTTTTATATAATAACCCTAAGAAATAATTTTCACTAATAAAACAATCATGGGGAACAGGAGGGATGCAGAAATGGATCTGAAAAATGTAATCTATCCACTGTTGACAGATTCACTATCAAAAGATCTGGTCAACTTCACAACCAAGCACCTGAACCAGCTGTTTTGCATGAGCATATTTTTACTATGATATAAAACAGCAGATTGGTCATAGACCAGGCAACCTTGAGAGATGCATTTTAGCTGCTTGGAAAGCAAAATGTCTCGCTACTGATTCCTCAGCTGGATAAATACGTTGGAATAAAGAAAACTGACTTAAATAGGAAGAGCAAAATGGCTGTCATGATAATATCTTCAATTTGCTTTATTTTTCTTCTCTCTCAGTATTTAAACAATTACTTTACTTTTTGTCACAGTGAACCTAAAGCCAACAACAACAACCACAAAACCCTAAAAGTCCTCTACTGTGTGTGTCACATGGTGGAATGAAAACTTAAAACTGTCCAAAATTATGATCACTTGCCTTCTCCTTTCTGAGCTTTCATACAAAATTCTCATAGCTCTCTCTCTTGAAACTAGATATCCTTGCTGAACTTTTAATCAATTAACCAAAGCAGTGAGTCTAGGTCAGGGGTAGGCAATCTTGGCTCTTTTATGACTCATGGACTTCAACTCCCAGAATTCCTGAGCCAGCATAGTTGGGAGTTGAAGTCCACGAGTCATAAAAGAGCCAAGGTTGACTACCCCTGGTCTAGGTTACATTTCTTTTAAACCAGAATTCCCCAACGTTTCCGGCTTTGCAGACCAGCAGGGAGGGGAGAGGGGATGGTTCTGTGTGAGTGCCCGGTAAGTGCATGCAGTTCCATTTGCGTGAGCAGTGTGCACACGCATCTGCTGCTCACACAAATGGAGTGCACATACATGTGCTCGCCTGTTGCCTGCCTGCTGCTTATGCATGTGACGCGCATGTGCGTCCTTGCCAGCCATTTCCATGGCCCAGTTGCAATCCTTTCACAGCTCACTATTGGGCCATGGCCCACAGGTTGGGGACCCTTGTTTTAAACGGTTTCTTGTTGAATTAAGGAATTTATTATTGATGGGAGAGAAATAAAAAAGAGGAAAAGATGCATTATGGAAGCGTATAAAAAAACAAATGCATTGCATTGGGCAAAGTTGTTTGTGAATATGAATATATTAGCAAGCTCATATTCAAAAATACCTATATTGGGGAATATGTACAAAATCATGAAAACATTTTTATCAAGTGTCAGGTTTTTTCTATAACCTAGGAAAATAATGCTGTATCTCAAAGCTGGTGTCATCTATTTGTGTTGGACCTTAATACCCATAATTTTCAACCATCTAGCATAGTACAAGTGAAAGCTGAGGTCAAACAGAAACTGAAAAACACCACTTTAGAGCAGGATGGTTTGGTGAAATAATTCTTTTCTAGGAAAAAAAAGTTTGTACATATATTT